CTTGATTAATCCTTTGTGTCGCGGACGCCTCGAAATACGCGGAGTCACTTTTGAATTCGAATCTATTCGAAAGTACCCCGTGGCCCGTTTCGTTTCCAAGAATCTTGAACACTCGGAACGATATCCGCGTGTTTCGTGGAGATCTCGATGTATTAATTCATTTAATTAGGATCATAACGAACGCGCATAAAAACATTGAACTCTCGACGCCACGTCTCTTGGCCTCGCTAATGAACGGCCGAACGAATGTTCATGAGGAGTCTAAAAAGCACTCGCTACAAATATTCAGAATGCAATGAATTTTTTACTCGGATATCGTATAAATAGTTATGTGTATTTCTTGTCGGTTCATTGGCTCGTAATTTTCCTCGTAACTGAGTCCGCGAGGACTGCGCTACCTTTTGCCAGGGGAATCCCGTGAAAAAAAGGAGTTGCATATGTAAGGGTAGTTAAACATGCACGTATATTTAACAAATTCAACGTGAAATCGGCCACACGTGTCGCAAAGCAACAGGCTAATGATGAAACGTTTCCGCGATGCACGTATACGCGAACGAAACGCTTTCGACCCGTGTGGAACGAGGGTGGCCGCCGTCGGAAACGAAGAATGCTGTAATTAAGAGCATATTAATTTGGCGGCTGCTTTTGTCTCGCGTCTCCCCAGCGCGTTTCTTTCCTCCCTTTTCACTTTTCGCTCGAACATGTCGGCGACGGCCGACACGCGCGCTCCTCGATTCTCTCCTTGCGTAATTAATCGATTCGCGCAGTCATCGTGTGCCCCGGTTTTTCATCGCATTTGCACGCCGCGAGGAGCTTCCTTCGCGAAAGGAAGTTGGGTAACGCAACTGGTCGTTACACCGACCCCACGTTCCGCGACGCATTCGTCGGTTTCGTTTCGCCGGCCCGTCCGCGAATTACTCGTTAACATGTTCTGAATCCCGTGGGGATCGCCGGTGATCCGAAATCAAATTATCATAATTCATTCAATCAACGGACGAACATTCGGAAATTTATCTCCGCTACAACTGACGCGATATAGAGCAGTCTCGTTTCAAGAGACAAGCGTCTAACGATAATGCAACTAAATTGAATAATTCGATACGTTTCTCTCATTTTGTGGGAAATCGCGAGTACCTAGCAACGCGTGATGCTATGGATCAAATATGTGGAGCATCGCGAGAAAATCCTTAGTCTAATTGGATCATTCACGATCTAGACGTCTGATTTCTGTTGTACGAATACATCAGTAGTAGATCCGATGAAATGTTATTTACTACTCGTAACTAACAATTTTTAATCGCTTCGATAGCTTCAGAGTAATGTTCAGTTATAAATAACGCGTATTTATTGATATATCGAGTGCAGATAATACACGCGCGAGTATACGTCATTACAGAATGCACGCGACAGAGAATACCAGACGATTACGTTCCTCGTTCCCTCCCTCCTCCTCGTTTCCCTTTGAAAAGCCGTTTCTTGGGGCTTTTACCTAAATATCTTCTCGTCCCTCTTGAAAAGGCGCGACGATCGATGCGCTTTACGCTTCCGCGGAGAGCCAGACGACTTCGCGGCTCGCGGAACGAGTGGATTTCGCGAACACTTGTCCCCGGCTGCATTTCGCACGCACTTCCATCGTTAACGACTCGACTCGCCTCGTTCCGCCGCGGATCGATCGTTCAAATTCTCCTCCTCGCGACTTTCGCCCGGCAATCCGCGGCCCGACCTTAATATTGTCCGCGAGATCCGCGCGGAATAAAAGAGAAACTTCCGAATTCTCGTATCTGGAATACCGAGTCCTGCGCGAATGTAACCCTTTGCACTCGGAAGTTTCTTACTGGAAATATGTAACATTTTTCCACGAGGCGAACACGATATTCTTAACTCGAAGAGAAATCGCCAGTATATCGAGGAACAAAGCTATTTTATTCTATTCAAGCAATTCGTTTGCAACTTAGTATTTCGTATATGACAGTTTGATCTGAAATGTCATTTGTCGAGTTCGGGGATACAAATGAAATCGCATAATTTTATCCTACGAGCGTGGGGTGATGATCAATCCCAACATTGTCTTAGTCACGAAAGTCGGCGTGTTAAATCGATCCCGGTACGATCGACGGGGACTCCGCCGCGTTCCAAGCCTCTCGCGGCGGCTTTCATAACGGTCCATTATTCGAATGAAATTTCTCGCGAATCCCCGGCCGCGGGTAACCATGATATTGTCCGCGGGACAAGGGAACGCGAAAATGCTCGGTGCATCTCGTTTCCTTTGATAGTTGCCTGAGCCATCCGGATGAATGCATTTCTTTCTCCCCGAATCGAGCAGTCTTTGAACCTCGCAGATTACTCCGCCTTCTGTGCCGGCGTTCAGCCGGTCGCGAGGAGAGTATTAAAAAAATGGGAACGGGGACGACTGCCCCGTCGAAACTTCCTCGCGAACTTCCCTTTGTTCGCGCACGCGCACGCTGGCACTCGCTCGCGCCAAACGTTCGAACGCGTTATCGTTGCATTCGATTAACACTTTGACTGCCACGTTTCAACAATTTTTTCTATATTTATTTGTAGCATCACAATTACCATTTAAAGGTAACGTTTCAGTGACTCCCAAATATTCTTGAATAAATAAATAGAGCGTCTCATTAAGCAATTGAATGAACTAACGTCGACGTGAACCTCAAAGTGAGAAACCGAGAGCACTTCGGACCGCAAAGGGTTAACGAATGTCTCGTTAACGAATATCTCTGAATGACGATCGAACGGACGCGATCGACGCACAGTGCGGACAAAATCCACCACACTCGACTACTCGCATAAAAAATTGAATATTACCAATACATCGCTGAGTAGTCCTTGCTACACGAAATGATTTTCATCAGAAAACTACAAATTTTGTACGGAATCAATTCCGTTTCTCTATTTGAAATCTACACGCAGAATATCCATTGTCATCGAGAAACTCCATACTACCCCCATAAAGTAAACAAAACGTAACCACCATGTGTTCAGCTCTATACCTTAGAACTTCTGTTCGAAGCACTGTTTTCTATCACTCATGCGTTTGAAGTAATCGAGTTTCGTCCAGAAGACGGTCGTGTGGCCGTACTGTGCGACGAACTGAGGCGCGTTGAAACGAGAACGTCAAACGCGAATCGCACACGAGTGCAACGACGGTATCGCGCATCGTTCCACGGATACCTTACTAGTCCACCGCGGTTCTTCATGTCGTTTTTACACGATCCCCGTCATGTCGATCGTTTTTGCCGCGCTGTACTCGGTGTCCCGGTGGACTGACGCTTTCCATAATTAAACAGGCCCGTTTTATTATTTCATAACGTTCTTTAATAGTTCGTCCCGTGTATCCGCTTATTTTGTATTCCGCTGTAGGTTCGTTGTAAATTCGCGGGGACGTTATCCGCGCGGCGTTCGATTGTCCCGGCGCTCCGCAAAAACCGTGGCGGAACGTGTCGAGCGTGAACGCGAGGTTACGTGGAAACGTGCAAAGATCGCGTGAAAAAATGTGTCCGTCGCGCAGGGTTCAAGCGAATAGAATTAGCCCTGGGAGACGGGAGGATCGGATTTGGCGAGGTTTCGTGACGGTCGGGGGTTAGTGGACGATACTCCCACCACGGCTCGCCCGGGGAGGTGGGAAGTTCGTATTTAAGATCTGGAAAGGAACAGTGGTATTCGTTATTCTTCGTTAAGTTGTACATCAGTCAAAGGTAACATCGTCGATTATGCCGTCCGGATTGCGTTGGAATCGCCGTGCGAGGTTTCAGTCTTCTGACCGAAAAGTGTTCACCGAAATCCAACGTCCGCCCAGTGATCGCGATGCTCTCGTTGGAAAGTGCTTAGATATCGTGAATGTGTATCGTAATGATATGAACAATATATAATATACTAACAACCGTCGATTAATATAATAATAGATGATCATAAACCGTTGAATTATTGACGGATGTCGGTGAATTCTCGTTGATTTCGAATCTCGAGATGAGAGTCTTGAATTCAGGTGCTTAGATATCGTGAATGTGTATCGTAATGATATGAATAATGTATAATACACTAACAACAGTCGATTAATATAATAATAGATGATAATAAACCGTTAAATTGTTGGGATTCCGGTGAATTCTCGTTGATTTCGAATCTCGAGATGAGAGTCTTGAATTCAGAAATGATAACGCACGATGATGTTTAATGTCTGATAACAGACGATTGAAGTATTCGCAAGGATTCGGTGAATTCTCGTTGATCACTGGTCAGAAGGACTAGCACCGGGGATTTCAGTGCGCTAACCCTTTGTATCTATATATGTAGATTGTGATTTGGTGGACAGAAACACGTGCACCCTCCTGGGATACAAGAAAGAGACGAATGAGACAGACGTTGCTCTTCGTCGAAGCCCATTGCAGCTTCGACGACTTCCTTTGACATCATTTCGCTAGGAAGAATGAATCGCACCTTTAAGTGACTTAAGAAACTTGCCTTTATTATTGTTCTCGTTTCCCTGTACGCTGCTCGAGTCATTTTTTAATGGATATCCCGCGATTCGAGTCGTCGTCGACGACCAACTCGGAGAAAGAGTAATTGTAACTCGAATTAACACTATACCGAAGCTGTTACAAGACACCTTTTGAAATTTCAACTTCAAATTATCTTCTCGGTTTCATTATTCTTCCACGATTGAATTTTTCGACATTTTCTACAGTTCGTTTTATAATCGCTATTGGAAAAGTCGAAAAGTCAATTCAGAATATACTAAACTTGGAAACTAATTTTAAGTTAACAATTCGGAAGATGTTTTTCGATATTCTCGGCAGAGATATTTGTTAAATTGCGTGAAGCACGATTGAAACTGCCTGTGACTCTTTTATTATATTTCTACCGTGCGCTGTATGTTGCTGCGTTATCGTTGACGTTCAAAGTCGCACCCGTTCCCTTTGAACGCAGAGATTTCAACGGTTCACCGAAGTAATACGAACACGCTTTGTGTCTGGTTTCAGAGCCGAGCCAAGATGACGAGTATAGTGTCGGATCTGGTGCACGGGTACAGGGACCTCATGGATAACAAATCCGGTAAGTTGATTTTCTCAGCCTCTCGACAAGTCCAGCTTGAACCTCAACCCTCGAACCCTGTCTCCGATAGCCGGAGGATCGCACTTTCCCACGACCTTATCAACACTTTGTCCACCGGAGGTTAGACGTTCGATTGACCCTCGAACCCCTCGCAGTACTCGAGGCACACTCGACAATGCAATTTCATAATGTTCAAGTATTTCACCAAATTCCACTGTAATTACTCGTAACGTTATCATGTGTACATAAGACCTTAGCGCTTCCCGAGAGTTAAATCAATTTTCAAAGTGGAGAGCTAATCAGGACGAAGGATTAAACACTAGTGACTGACAACATCGATTTTTCAATTCAATTCTAATTCAATCGTAAATAACCTCTTCATTACACAGAGACTTCTCGCGATTACCTTCGGGTAACAGATATTATCACCGTTCGAGAAGTAAAGTATCGAAGATCGTTAGCATTCTTCGAGAAGGAAATATGCACGAATAAGAACATCAGGTTTCATCTCGCGATTAAGTGTTACAAGTGCGTACTGATTATAGATTTTCCTTTCTAAAGCGTTACGAATCGAAGAAAAAACGATCCGAAGGAACGCTCGAACCGTTCGAGAACCACGGGGAAAATCTATCCACTTTCCGTTTTGTTTGCCCCTCGGAGAAGTTTTATGTTCCCCGAATAGCCTCTCGTGTACATACTTCTAAACAGGGGAGATATTTAGATGTTCCCGTTCAAGCGTCCCATCCGAAATACGCCAGTCAGGCGCAAGGGACCATGAATATTTCTGCTTCGAAATTGATCGCCGTACGACTGGTAGATACAAGTGTTCCGATCAGTCGCACGCGCAGCTTGCGGCGTGACAGATCGATGGAAACACGGACTTGTACGATTTAGCGAACATCGATGCTATCATTCGAACACGGCTAACGAAGTTCTGCGACTCGTACCGCTACGAATGAAGCTCGAGTTTCGTTCGACTATTCCAATTTTTAACACTAGTATCTTTGCATCGTAGAGATCAACCGTTCAAGTTAAAAGTATCTTCAAACATTCGAATAAAACAAACAGTTCGAAAAGTAACGATCTCTCGCGACAAGACGATTCGAGGATCCATTCGAAAACTGATAAGTCCATAATGTTCACGACGTTAATAGTTCCTTTTTCAATTTTAGAAGATTTTAAAAAGCGATCTCTCCCCGACTTCGAAAAGTCCTCGTCCGCGAAGAGTTAGTTTCCGAGTATTCGGCGTAGAAATCTCGATCCCTTTGTTCTACGATCTAAACAGTGAAACGCAGCAGGTAATGGCTGACTATCGAGGAGTATCACGTTTCCATTTTGGCAATGCATTATTCAGAAACCACGCAGAAACCACTTTAGAGTTTCTAATCAGTGGACAAAAAATGCCTCCGACATTCGCGCATCCTAATTCACGAAATGCATCTGTAGTCCAGTCGTTTATTGCCAATTGTTTTCGAAGGAAACACGTGACACGACCTACCTGTTATAATTAATACTCCGGTCGGAATAATTCTAGACCGATGACGCGTTATACCCAAGAGTCACTTCGTTTCTTTTCGAAGCTCTGTCGGAATTCTCGATCTGTCGAACAAAAAAGATGACCCCGCTCACCTCGGTCCGGGCATTTCGAATAACACAGAGTCGTCGAAACGGGGAACACGAAAGAAAGTCGAAGCGCAGAAGGTTGAGGTGGGGTAAAAAATCTCTGTGAACTGTGAACGGGTTAGCATGCGCTTGCATAGCTTTACAAGTGACACGACAAGGCGAAGCCCGTCATCCGCGGCTCGTTTAGAGGCGATTCAGAAGGGTTAGACTTTTAGACGATTGCGTTGCGCCGTTGCATCGCTCGGGTTTCTGCGCCGTCGTCGATTGATTCGTGACCAGCCCCTTGTAACGCTGGGAAGATTCAGTTGCTGGCGGTTAACGCGTTGACTGTCATGGTGGTTACCGATACCAATGCCTTCCGAATGGAAAACGAGAAGCCAATGCGCCTGAGTCCAGAACAATTGCGGAAATTCATCTTTTGGCTTCTGAAATGATTGTGCATATTCAGAAGCTATAACATTAGCTTTCCGATTTAGAAGAAACGAGTAAATCCTTTACTAACTAAACAGAAGGTTACTTATTCCATTAACACGTTGGATGCCGCATGATTTCATGGTACAGAATACTTAAAATGGAAGAAATATAATATTAAATCATTCGATTGAGTTGCATTGTTCGTCTAGCTGAATGTCACCACATTAGTTAGCATTATTTATAATATAGAAATGTTTTCAAATGGTCATGGTTTAATCGAGTGAACTATAGTAACTCGATTTGGTTGGGGGTCACCGGTGACCCTCGTGGCATTCAACGTGCTAAAATGATACATTGTACGAAACGCTCGAAATTCTCGCGGCAACGTGTCAAGGGGACTCGAATTGACCGGCCCTTCTTCTCCTTTTTTCTCCGGCGTCGTTCCCGTGCACTGATTATCGATCTAATATACCGGCAACGCGAGCCAGCAGCCCGTGCGTTTTCACGCTAATCGCGTCCCGTGTAGACGAACGGCCGCGCTCGCCGCGAGAGAGAGAGATGCCTGATTACACCGAGGCTGCTGCATCACTGGAATCCGTTCTTGCATTTACTTCCCGACGGTCATTCGGTGAACGCGTTCACCGCCGCGGAAAATCCTCCCGGTCGTGTCCAGGAGAGCCGTGGAAAAGAGGTCAAACCGTTACATCGGGACGCTCGATAATATCGGCGAAATTTTCTTCTTCGTGCTTTCGTTTCGTCCCCGACCCGTTCACGGTACGCGCTCGGCAAAGATGGGGCAGCGTTTAGTGTCCTAGAGAACGATCAACTTCGCTGGCGACCATTTCATTGACCGGTCGCTGCACTTAGAGGATCTTTATGCGTTCCTGTTATTCCCCGTTGCACGAATTGTGTCGGAAATATCAGGTCATCCTATCGGTTACGTTCTTTTATGATAACTTCTGGGAAATTAACGCTAGATCCACTCGTCAATTTCATGGATATTGAATGTTTTAAACGTTAGTAAGTTTCAGTCGATTCTGATTCGTGCAGTTATGCGAATACGCGTTGAAATTCTCTGGTTTTGAAGATACAATTTTCAAGATTTGTAGAACGTAGTGTTCTAACAGTAAAATAGTATAGAATAGATGTATGGAAATCTAGTGTTCATATTAACTTCTCTTGACTATCTTTGTCTATGACCTTCCCTCACTTTCCGATGAATATTTCAATGTCTCTTTCGTGAAGTTTCTGTGGTTCTCCGTTGGAACTTACATAAGGAACGATATTATTTATAGAATGATGTATGGCAAGAGCGAAGGTTATTTGAAAGTTCGTTTCACCGAAAATCAGAATCGATTGAAAAGTCAAACGAAGATCAAATAGAATTCCGTGCAACTTCGATGTAGATCCCGTCGAGGAAAGTTTCCCTTGCGTAAAGAGCGGTAGATTGTTTATCGTTGTTCGGCGTGTATTCGCGGGACCTCGGGTTTCAAAGTATTTGTGGAGGGTTTGCCTGTGTCCCGCGAGGGTTCGTTTTTATTTATACATAGTGTTTTTATTCTAGGGTGAACACGTGTAAAAGTTTCAACGCTCGCCGCGTACACGTGCGTGAGTTAATCTTGAAACATGCCCGTAGAATCGGGCAACCCTTTCAGTTGGCGTTTGATTGTCTCTCGAATGGCAATTAACACTAGAACTACTAGATTTTTTTGTTTAGCAATTATCGATATCTTGGAAGCATTGAACATTCGAAATGATTTTGAAAATAACCAGTATCATTTGAGTACTATAATAAGTATCTGAAGAAACTGAAAATAATCTATTGTTACAATTTTTATAGGAATTACATATTAATCGCATTAAATGCGTTCACACTCGATAATACTCCTCGTTGCGAACACTCGTTATTTTCTGATAAAGTATTCATACTATTTGCCAGCAAACTACTTCGAAAAACGATTTCGTCTCTACGTTTCGCGTGCTCAAAGTATCCGAAACTCAATACTGAATTTTTAATTGCACAATTATGCTGCGTCGAAGCAAATGGCGGCCGAGAGTCTCTCGAGTGCAGAAGGTTAGAGAGTCGAGAGGGTTTTCCAGCAGCCGTTCGAACGAATCGACCGAATCGTCCGATCGGACAACTTCAAAATCCAGCCCCCGTATGGTAATTCCCCGTGAAAATATTCAGTTCCGTGGAAACAGGACGGGTCACGATATGTCACTGATACTAAAATCTCAGCTCGTAAATCATCCGTCGGACACTTTATCGCCTGTTCGGCTCATTATCATTCCCGGCAAAAAGTGCAGCCTGCTCGAGAAAGGTGGCGTTTTTTTCTGTCAATGCCCGGGTACACGTAGTCGTCTGGCATTCCTAAAAATACTAAGGTAGTTTACTACCGTAAACCCGTGAAAACAACTATGTTTTTCAACGAATTCCTTGCCGATCGGCCGGTTGACGTCAAGGGGTGATGTTACGAACGATCGGATCATTCATTGATTTTTTCGGGCTTATCCTTTATGCAGTCTAACCAGTCAAATTTCCGAAAACACTTTCAGCGCAAACACGCGCTGATTGAAAATTCAAATTAGTTGATAAATCCGCGAAACACGTAAATGTCGGTTTCGCATTCTACGAGGTCGGAGATAACAAAATAACATTTCTGAGATTCCCCAAAATCTCTTTCTCGTTCTCGATAATCTCGTTCTCCGTAACACGGACGAATATTTAATAACAAGTCTTTCCAGATTCCTTACAATTGTTTCCTCCGTCCCGAAAACAGAGACAACGTGAAAACGCCGACGGTGTCTCTCCTCTGTTCCTCCCTCTCCGTGCTCTCGTCGCAGGGGGTAGCAAAAGCGCGACCGTGCGGATGCGAGGCGCAGGGCTAATTTACCGGAAGCTGGCCTGGCCAACCGAGTTCCGAACGAGCCGGACGCGTCTTGCCGCGTAGGGCTGCGGCGAA